CTCGTATTCGGTGGTAACATACAATTTTCAACCGGACAGTGACTCGAGAAAGTTTAGATACAGTCGAATTTCCACCATAGACGAGCTGCTGTATAAGTCTAAAAATAAGCATACACAGAGTTGGAGTAAAAGAGAGTGAATAAATGACGTAAAAAAATAATTATAGCAATAATAGTAATAATAATAATAATGCAAATCGTTTGATTTTTAATCGAAGCACGACAAGTAGTTTCCATCATTATAGACAGTTCATCACATTTGTGTGTGGGCTGTGATACTGCCCGGGTACCCAGAACGAAGCAGGTGGTTATCTTAGGGGGCCACACCCCGAGGCTCTGACCTAAAGGTCTGACCCACAAGGCAGTGGGGCATCGTGAGGAGATGCAGTCCCATGGTGGCCGGTGGCCAACGATTGGTTCACTCATTTGTTCACTCAGGATACTGGAGCCCATGTGCACTATTGGTACGATTGTTATCCTTACTTTGCCGATCCTTACCTTTACATCTGCATCACATCCTCCTTGTTTATCGACAACACTACCTGGATACGTGAAGTTTTCCATCTATTTCAATGTTTCTCCATCAAATGTGATTGAGTTATATCCAAATATATTTAATAATTCTGAATGAAAGAAATCAACTGTTTACTGTTTTAATTGAGTCATTCAGTTTCAAGTAAATTTAACGAATCATTATGAATTTGAGTGTCAATGACGAAAAGAATTTGTACAGATGAAAATAAGGAGAAATTTGAGTAATAATATGCATTTAGTTATTATATATAAAATTCTGTATGTCAATTAATATCCAAAATCAATATTAGTTATAACCTACGATACTCTCAATGAATTCCATATTAGAAGTTGTTAGCTATCCATTGTGTTATATCTTAATGAAGATTAAATTACGAGTAACTTCTGTGACCTATTAATGTACTAATATTATCTATATATTCTTATGGTATAAATATTCAGTAATTAGATTATGTATATTGGGCGGCCTGCTTGAGCATCTGGGCTACCTGTTCCTGTCATCTAAATATTTCAACAAGTTATCTATTTTTGTTCGTTTTAATATATCATTATGTATATTAATCGCGTAACCCATCCTTGTGCATTTCTGAAAAGTTTACAACCTTTCGTTGTCAAAGTTACTAAAAGCTCAATAAGAGATAATGTGGTCGCTGGCAATATACAACGAAAAGAATGTACATTATTCAGATGTTTATTTACTGGACTGCTAACATCTAACTGGCTATCACTCAATATTTATCGTCAGGATCGACCAAGAAGAAAGAAACGGAAACTTGTTGAAATACTTTGTGCTGAGAATTCTATATTGTGTCAAAAATATAATATTGAATAAAGCTTATGATAATAATAATAATAAATAATATATCTATATTTCCCTTATTCTAAGCTTTATTTCACCCATAGATTATCATTGTACGATTTACTGGTCTCAAGTTATACTCAGTTTATTAATCACTATTTCTCACATTCACGGCTACATTTTGGCTTGATCATGTATAAATGTTATTTCCTATTTTATGGTGTGATGCGGTCTGTTTGGTTGATATATAAATCAGATATGTTTGAATTAAATGATTCATATAGTGGAAGCTGTTAGTAGCGTTCTGGATTCAACTGGCAGTGCTAGGAGGGAAAAAGACAAATAAGGACACTAGGCTGCTTATACCGGTCGAACGTCATTGGTTTGGGACAGTGCTATGATTGTATATGTCATATTTCGATTGGTGAATAAATCACGTGATAATCAGCCACGCTTAAGCTCATAAGATACTGTTTAATGATTTCCAATTCCTTCTTCTTAAAAGTTAATCATCAATTTGAAACTTTAAATTCAATAGAAAGTATCAAACCCTATAACAAAAATCTTATGTCTCTTAGATACAAATTGACAGATAATTCCCGGTATGTTTTTTAGAGAGATGTAAATCAATGTTAAACCATTTTCGTTAATCGAAGTAGATAATGGTTGGGTAATATTATGAATTAACTGAAAATAGAAATGCAAGCCATTGACTGTAAACTTTATGGTTCGAAAGTTAATCATTCATCAGGAAGGTTTTAATGATAGATTTGATCTCTAGTAGGATAATGGATGCATACTATCATTTTTATTATTTTGATAGATGAAAAATTTCATGGATCAGTTGAAGTTGAACAATAACACCGTTGGATGCCGGCAGACTCTGTGGTCACGCGAGAGACCGATAAATCCTGAGTTTGAATCTCGCTAGGCGAGATCGTCGATGCGTACTGCTGAGGAGTCCTACAATAGGACGAAACGGCCGTCCAGTGCTTCTATGTTCTCAATAGTGGTATAACATCAATTGATATATATATATATGTATATATATGTATAAAACAAAGAAATATATATTTGATTAGAATCAGAAGGGGTTTTGTGGATATTATAGTAATTTTAATGGTTGAGATCATGAGTCAATGGAAGCTAGATCAATACAGAAAACCTGTAAACACTGGACGGCCATTTCGTCCTTTGCGCACTGCTGAGGAGTCCCGCAATAAGACGAAACAGCTTGTCTAGTGTTTCCAAGTTTTCCATATTGGTCTAGCTTCAATTGGCTCATGATCTCAACTATTGAAATGAAAAATTCTTCAGTGTTTTTAATTCTTTTAACAAATATTTCCTAACTGAAATAACAATCAAAGATACTCTGTTTTCTATAAAGCTTGATATCTATTACATAATATATTATTTATATTTACTTTTGGATAGATTTGATCTCTAGTAGGATAATGGATGCATACTATCATTTTTATTATTTTGATAACTACTATCCAACTGGCTTTAAAAAAATGTGTGTGTGATCATTTTGTTACCATATGTTACCATATGTTCATTCTTTGTATCGATTTTTTTTAAAAACAAAAAACATGATTGTCATCAGTCGAGATTATCATACATCAGTACAGTTGTGGTGTGTGTTACTGATATCGACAGATATAAGTTATATGTATCATCAATCAAAAGTGATATATCTAGCAGTAGAAGGTTAAGAGAAAATCGAAGAGAAGAGAACAAGAACATAGAATGATTATTGTAAATGTGAAGGAACAATGAAGTTTGAGACAATTGATTGATATTTTCCAAATGGTTCTCAGATTTAACTAAGATATTCTGTAATGTTTGGTTGTCCCCACTTGTATTCTCATTTGCTACAATGATAATCAAAACTTTGTATTATATAACTAATAAAGCAGTTAAAGAAGAACAAGCTATAACCTAAGCTGCACATTTCAATTATATGTAAATGTTGATTGGATATTAGTAAATGAAGTATCTGAGAGAAATCTTGTTTCTTTTGTTAATGACAATGAGTTAATAAAAGAAAATCAAGATAATCTGATGTAACATAAAAGTGACACTATGATCATAATTATCAATAAAATTAAATGAATCACTTTGGATTCATTGAAGAATCATACAACATACTGTGATATGTGTATATAAAGGGGAAACAAATTGTAGAAATAGATGCCTTAGCAACAGAGTTGTATATCAAAAAGGGGGGTTATGAATATTGTAGTAATTTAATAGTTGAAATCATGAGTCGATTGAATCTAGACCACCATGATCTCAACTATGAAAGTACTATAATATCCATAACAGCCCTTTTCTGAGATTAATCAGCATATGCTCACTAGTGACTGGCTTCAAGAGGTATTTTCTGTAGTTTTAGTGAGAAGCCGTGATCAGTGAAGTTCAACCAGATCTGTTTTGAGATAGTAATTCACTGAAGACAATAGTGGATGTATCGTTCAATTTCGTGGATTAGTTGAAGTTAGACATTGACATCATTAGATACTGGCAGGCTCAGAGATCTACATGTTAAGCGTTCGCGCGCGAAACTGATAAGTCCTGATTTCGAATCTCACGAGACGAGATCGTGGATGCGCACAATATGACAAAACAGCTGTCCAGTGCATTCAGGTTTCTCATGGTTTTCTACCTTCAATTGATTCATGATCTTATCTATTAAAGAATCGTATGTGTAAATTGATTTGATATTACTTACTTGAATCTTCCTATTGATGCTTTAGACTGTTAGTGATCAGTCTCTTATTGACATATGTGTATATTGTGCGTATAGCCTTTCATTCACAAGCATTATAAGCGAAGATGGATAGTAGCTAGCAGTGAAATCTAGCAGGCGCGTTTTGTTCGTTTGTACAACGAAAAGACGATGAAAGAGATAAGGATTAATGTTTTGTTGTCATGGAAATTATAGTCTATCATTTTTCTAAAAAAATTACTGCATAAGAACAATATCTTAATTTAGATGTAACAACTTGATTTATTCTTGTTATATGTAAAGAAAATGAGACATTTCCGTTTATTATTGGACTATTCAACTACTTTTAATGAGAATTTTTCGAAATAATTACTAAAGTATTTTGATGCACTAGAAATCACTTTACGCGTTAATGGTTGAGTAGTGGACATTAACTCGCCCTGAAAGAGTGCTAATGATTATGTGTATTGCATGAAGTGCATGAACGAAAGTCTTTGCATTGATGGTATATATGTAATGCGTAAGTTGTAGTAAATACGTTTGATGACAGCGGTGACCATTTACCCTCCGAGATGAGTGAAGATACCTATATGTATACTATAGGGGGTTCGAGTGACAATTTATGTATTACAGGTATATATGTTACTTATATTTTCTCATAGGGTGAGTATACCTATGTGTATGTCAAGGAATACATGATTACGACGCCTATGCACCAAGACGCTGGAGTTCAAACAATTTCCCTATTAAATCACATCCACGAAATGAACTTGTGAGCTTCTGAAAGTGGATTCTAATCCAAATAGAACAGTGGGCTTTATCAAATATGACGTTAACAACTTCAAATGATCAGAACACCGCATTGAATTACATCGTTCATGTAGTATACTAGTACTTCAGGGAAATAAGTCAAAAAAACGAACCACCTATTATCTTTAAATGTTTATTTTGCAGTTTTTAATCATAATACAATGATAAATGTATCTCTATATGAATTAAATGATGACATGATGTAATTAATCTATTTATTGTTTTAATAATACGGTCTATATTGGATTCAAATATGATTGGTTATTCATTAGATAGATGATCAATTTATTTACCAAGTCTTTGTGATATATAATATTTTCTTTTCATAAGACGTCGAACTAATGAATCACGTAGATTTGGATAATAATATTGATCAAGTTCATCATGTGTATATGGTAACTCATAAGGCATAAATGGGTATCGTTCCATTTCATTTTCAGGTGCCGCCATAGCACATTTAACTTTGACCAATGAAAATACAATAGAGAATATTGACAAGATTAAAATTGATTTAAGCATTATTGGTGAATCTAAATGAGAATAAGAAGAAAGAAAAGAAAAGAAAAGAATGTTCGGTATGATAAAAGGTTTTAAGTATTTACAGATAATATAATAATAAGATTATCTTAGCTACTTACTTACGCCTGTTACTCCTCGTGAAGGAGCATAGGCCACTCACCACCATTCTCCATCCAACCCTGTCGTTGGCAAACTTTTCCAACTCTTTCCAGTTGTTATTCATCCTTTTCACATCTGCTTCTATTTCATGACGTAATGTGTTCTTTGGCCTTCTTCTTTTCCGTTTCCCTTCAGGATTCCAAGTTAGGGATTGCTTCGTGATGCAGTTTGATGACATCTGTAATGTATGTCCTATCCATTTCCATCGTCTTCTAATTTCCTCTTCATCTGGAAGCTGGTTTGTTCTCTTCCACAGAAAGCTGTTGCTCATGGTATCCGACCAATGGATGTTGAGTATATTGCATAGACAACTGTTTATAAATACTTGTACCTTATTGATGGTGGTTGCAGTAGTTCTCTAAGTTTCAGCTCCATACAGCAGAACTTTCTTGACGTTGGTATTGAAGATTCTCACTTTGATATCGGTTGATAGACAGTTGTTTTGAGTTTCATATATTCTTCAATTATAGGAATGCTGTCCTTGCTTTGCCAATCCTTGCCAGGTACATGAAAGATTCCATATCTTCCAGAGTTTCGCCATCAAGTGTGATTAGGTTGGTGTTTTCCAACAACAAGATGAAAGTTCCTTGAATGAAATGAGTCAATTCATTTTGAAAAAGTTGAAGTATATGGTTGACGATTCCTGAAATACCATCTAAATTAACTAAAACATTTTAAGATAGTTTACTGAACCAATTGATATCATTGAAGAAACCAATGAAAATAATAAAACAATAAACAAGTTATTCATCTCAGTTCAAAACAGTTATTTGCAAGGTTGTTTTTCTACCAACGTCAAGATAGTTCTATTGTACGAAGCTGAAACTTGGAGAACTAGCAGAATCATCATTAAAAGTGTACAATAATTTATAAACAATTGTTTACGTAAGATATTCAGTATCCGTTGATTAGATATCATCAGCAACACCCAACTGTGATAGAGAACAAACCAGCTTCCAGCTGAGGAGGAAATTAGCAAAAGAAGGTGAAGGTGGATAGGAAACACATTGAGGAAATCATCAAACTGCATCACAGAACAAACCCTAAATTTTAAACTTGAAAGGAACCGGAGAACAGAAATATCAAGGAACACATTAACTTGAGACTTGGAAGCAGACATGAAAAAGATGAATAGCAACTGGAAAGAACTGGAAAGGGTTGCTCAGGACAGAGTTGGATTAAAAGTGCTGGTGATCGGCCTATGCTACTTCATGAAAGTAACAGGCGTAAGTATGTAAATAAGCAAGTAAGTGAGTAGGTAAGTTAAGTAGATGGAAATAGAAAGATATAAAAATGATAAACAGTAAGCTTGTCAATATTGTCCTTTCAGTAATGTAAACATATTTTGTCTAGACTATATCATCAATATAAAACGACTTTCTGCGATAAAAATACAACATCTGTGAAAAAAATCCATTTCAAGTATAAATAAAAATAAAAACACATTTGTAAATATTTCAAATGAGTAGAAAAATTAGACTTTTTGACGTTTCATCACTCAGTATGAGCCACTTCTTCAGAGAATAAATCAATAACCAAATCATAAATAATCCAAGTTTAAATAGTACAACAGAACAACTCAAGAATATTAGGTGTGATTAATCATAAACAGGTTGAACAAAGTCAATGTCATATCATTCCAGTCAAAGTGATTTATCAGCGACGAGTATGCAACTTTGTGTGTATGTGTGTGTGTGTATTCAGGGTCAGGGATGAAAAATGTAACCATTGTGGTGAGGATGGATAGAGTTTAATTTGTATGCACGATAATAATGTAAAATGTGAATATTATGAGATATGGTAGCTTGGATAGACAGTCCAAATCGGATGGATATTGAATGTTTTTGATTGATCGCACCTAATATTTCTGTGTTGTCATTTTGTACTAATTAAACTTGCATTAATTTTGTTTTGGTTATTTACTTATTCTCTGAAGAAGTGACTCATACTGAGTGACGAAACGTCGGAAAATCTACTTTTGATACTCATTTGAGATATCTACAAATATATTATTTTTTTTAATAATAGACTACCAATGAAAATCTGAAAGCACTGGACGGCCGTTTCTTCCTATTGTAGGACTCCGCAGCAGTACGCATAGGACGAAATGACCATCCAGGGTTTCCAGATTTTCTATGTTGGTCTAACTTAAATTGACTCATGATCTCAACCATTAAAATTACTATAATATCCACAAAACCCCTTCTGAAATATATATTTCTTTGTTATATATATATCCCAAATGAGTAGAAGAAAAGTTATATTTCTAATGACATTTCGTGACTTAATATAAGTCACTTCTTCAGAATAAATAAATAACACATTATTTCCTTTATACTATTTAAATTTGTGTTAATTTAATTTCAGTTATTTATTTATTCTGAAGAAGTGGCCTAAATTAAGTCACGAAACGTCGTTAGAAATACATTTTCTCTATTTATTTGGAATATAACTATCCACTTAATACTAAGTTTATTTAAAACTAGCAAGTTCACCTTTAGCATTGATACCTTATGAAATGAACTAATTTCTTTGACCATAAATCCACTTTTTTGTTGTTGTTGAAATCTTACTCTCATGACATATGATTATGATTGTCGAAATATTGAGGAAATTAGGTTAAATTATAAATCATTCATAATCGATTAGATATTTATTAATTTCTTTTTGTATAAGACAATGGTGGACGGTGACTCAATTTCGTTGAAGCTAGATATTAACAACGTTGGATGCTGGCAGGCTCAGTTGTCTAGACGTTGATCATTCGTGCGCGAGATCGATAGGTCTTGGGTTCGGATCTCGAGAGGTGGAATTATGGATGCTCACTGCCGAGGAGTCTCGTTGTGGGACAAAACGACCGTCCACTACTTCTAGGTTTTGAGATGGTGGAGAAAATTTGTACCTCAGGTGGATGATTTTGATGGGGTTTTATTCTCTGAGCTGGATGGTTTGATCGTAGTTTTCATCGTTCTTCTGAACAACATCATCAACGACATCATCAAACCAATGGGAGATACAATAAAAAAAAGAAGTAAACAATGATAGTTTTAAGGTCAACAAGAACCATTCATTATCGAGGTGTACAGGACAAGCTGTGAACCACATGTGGAGAAATTCGAACACTTCACTTCTACCTGAAGTTTGTGCTGATGATGTTGTTCAGAAGAACGATCAAAGCCCAACGACCAAACCATTCAGCTCAGAAAACAAAACTCCATCACAAAGCTTCTAGGTTTCCTATTTCGGTCTAGATTTAATTGACTCATGAATTCAATTATTCAATTACATATATTACTCTTTCATTTGAAATTAAGTGGTTATATTAAGATTTGATAGATTGTTTTGTAGTTGTCAAAACTTAACAGTGCGCATTCACAATCCCGCACTCAGGAGCTTTGATCTCACGCGTTAGCGCTTAACTCCTAAACCACTGAACCGGCATCCAACGGTGTTAATGTTTTACATCGACCAATCAACAATGTTGCGCAACCGTCCATCATTATCTTCAGTGAGTAACGGTTAGACTTCATTGGTCACTGCTTAAATTCCTACAATTTCCACAAACCCCTATTCTGAAAATAATTTATTTACTTATAAAACAAAAATCAGAGAAGTATTCTTGAAACTATAGTGAGAAATTGTAATCTGTGATATTCAGCAATGTTGGCCGTGAGGCAAATACATTTGAAGTTAACGGATTCTGCCTATTCAGTATTATAGCTTCACGATTATCTGCTTGGTGAATTTACTTCCTATAAAATGGTAATCTTATACGTAATAAATTGACCACGATATATTAGATCTGCTATATAAGGGTCAATTAATCACAATGAGGTGTTTCGATCTGGTCACAATTGATTGATCACTGAGTGGTGATCAATGACATGTATGTCAAGTCCTTATTTAGTGCAGATCGAATGCTATCGATTATGTTGCAATATGGCCACCAGTCTGGGTGACTCGATACTGCATGCACTATATATTGAGATTAGACTATGGTTGGAGGTAGTCGATAGGAAACGCTGGACCCGGGTTTCGTGCTACTTGGCACTCGTCAGCAAGGTTTACCTATAATCTTTAGGGAACTGGTGCTCCCTGTCGGATGCGATCTGGTTCATATTTGGAGAAAAAACTATCCTCCTATAAGTTATGAGCAAATATTATAAATAAATATTCATTCAGTCATAATGCTTGCTTCATGATAGTTTCGTAAACTCATAATTAAGCTTAACTAAGATCATTATTGAATTCCGGCTGTAGCTGTTCTAGGATTACTGCCAGTCCCAAGTCCGTGTAAAAAAGAAGGGTTAGGTATGGGGTCGGCAACTTCATCCCTCAAAAAACGACCTTGCTAAAAATGATCACTAACCAGAATAAACAATTTCAACCATCTAAATTCCGCCTTGGGATTTGAAGGAAGATTTATGACACCTTATCATAAAAACCAAGATTGGGGATTGGAAACGGACATGAAAAGTAACAATAGCAACATGAATCAACTGAAAAGGATTATCCTGGATGGAGTTGAATGGAGAATGCTGGCGAACAATCTATGCTCCTCCATGAGGAGTAATAGGCGTAAGTAAGTAAGCAAGACAATTATTGACCATCAACTTACCCACAAAATTTTTTTCAAAATTCTATGGCGTTATTTCGAATACTCTACACGTAGTGATAAAAAATATGGATTACTGCCAGACTAAAATTCAATCTTCATAGCTTATACACAAATTTTATATTTTGTCAAAATTACAGATTTATTCAATAGCGATTTGAATGGAATGATTTGTGATTAAGTAGAATCAAACAGTTAACATAAAATGGAGATGATAATGTGAATGAATTAGCAAATTGGTTGAGATTAGACATTAAAACCGTTGGATGCTGACAGACTCAGTGATTTATATGTTAAACGTTCGCGCTCAAAACCGAAGGTCCTTGGTTCGAATCCTGCGAACGGGATCGTGGATACACAGTGCTAAAGAGTCCTATAATAGGATGAAATGCTCTATCCAATGCTTCCAGATTTTCAATGGTGGCCTAACATCAATCGACTGATGATCTCAATTCAATATTTATTATCCTATAGAACTAAAGTAAAGGTAATTGATCGAATCCTGGTACACCATGAAAGTATAGTTCTTTAATAGTCGATAATGATTAGAATAGCCTAATAGTCATAACAATCTTCTTAATTCCATAACTATATGATACAGGTATAATCCATTGAAGAATTGTGAACTGCATATACTACTTATACAGATTATCATCATATTAGTTCAATATCAGGTCATTGTTATTGTTAATCTAAGAAATATATGTATACAAAGCATTAAAACAACAAAACTAGGCTATCTAAAACATATTGAGTTAGTTATAACAGTTTAAATCACTTAACGATACAATAATACAAATATGGATTTCTTTCTATGAATGAATTAAACTAAGCGCTTGGTATAAGACAAAAGAAAACAAACAAAAGATACCATCATTTATGGATTCAAATGTTTTGGTGAACTCATTGTCTTTTTGAAGTTATTCCATGTTTATAAAAGAACCGCCTACATTTAGCTGTTATAGACCGTATGAAGATATGTACATCTCCATGGCTTCCTTATTATGAAATTGATGATATTGTCTTTCGTTGCGAATAGTTAGCAAGTTCAATTATAAAGTTTGATCATAACTGTTTAGAAATTCTTGTGAAACGATTAGAAGTGTACAAAAATAAACTGATATGATGAGTGTTCATGAATAAAACAATGAGAATATAAGACATAAGTAAAGGGGGGAATGCAGTAATAATAATAATAATAACATTAATGGTAGGATAATCAAACTAATTAAGGCCAAGGTAACGATAACGATAAGACGTACTTCTTTTGTACGCATAGTTCTGGTTTAAGCTCCTGGATGGCAAGGGCTCTATGATCTTTAATTATTATATCAAAAACATTTTAATCATTTTAATCATCTTATTATAATCACTAAATCTATTGTTATTGTTATTATTCATGTTACGTAATCTAGTATTATAACCTTTATATTAACTGTGTTCACATTTCCTCACGGAATTAGTACTTTTACAAAAACAAAAAAATTTCATATATATACGATTGTACAGCTTGATAATGAATTCGTTGAAAAGAGATCCCTTCGCTGAAATTTGTGTTTTAATTTTAATGTTTAAATGGGAATTATCTGACGATTAGAAGTATCAATGGTCATTAGGTTCATAGTACTTCTGATGTATGAAGATGTCAAGGATTCTGTAATCGAATGGGATAATATCCATATACGTATAAGATCTTTTCCTGTATCATACATTATAGAATGTAATGTAAAATTCCGTAGTTATCTTGTAGTGAACGAGAACAAAGGCAGGGATAACCAAATGTATTTTAATACGTTACAGAATATCTTAATAAAATATGAAAACCATACAGTAAACACTTCATTTGCAATATATCCATCAATTGTCACGAACCATGTTGTTCCTTCGTATTCATACCAATCACTCACTGTTTTCCTTCTCTTCTCTTCTCTTCTCTTTTCTTAATCTTCTGCCATTAGGCATTTCACTTTCAATTGATGATATATACTACTTAATTCTGTCAATATCAGTAGCACACACCACAATGATTCATCTTTTTGTATCTTAGCTCATCTCAATGATGTATTCTATCAATAATAGGTGATAATATCAGTGAACTTTGAATTTTTATTTCTATTTGAAGATATACTCTTACCTTAGCTTTCTTTTTGTTTATACCAAAATAGGACGAAACGGCCGTCCAGTGCTTCCAGGTTTCCAACGGTGGTCTAACATCAATTAATTCATGATCTCAACCAAAAACTTAACAATCTCCACAACCCCCATACTGATATACCAAAATGGCTTATTAACTAAAGACTAAAGACTGGTTATATATATAACTTATCCTATAAAGACATATATCCCAGAGATAAAACATTAATTTCAGTGTTTCAATATTTGTTTGTTTGTTTTTATGTTAGACAAACAAACATTTCAGTTTGACATTCCCATATTGTAAATATAGAACAATATAGATATAAGTGAGCAATATTGTTTTTGATTAGATCCTCATTAGGCTTTACTCTATTATACAGTAATATTTATATGTATATATGAAATTAATTAAACCAATCAAGGTAGTTTATGAGTTAGTGATAACAGTGGAATAGATTACATAACTAAAGATAATAGGTGGAAAGTACAAATGGATAATGTGATGACAGGTGTACTAGATATGTTCGATTTAGTATCTTACACATAGCAGAAGCTATAGGAATTCGAGTCAACAATCCAAGTCTTTGTGTTCAGAAGAAATTTGTAACACCTTTATTTCTCTAATAAGCTTAATGAATGACCTTAGTTACTGTTATTTTTCATACTCTTTCATCGTTTTATTTTTCTTCAACCCTTCCCACTTTTTACTTTCCTCAAATATACACTTCATGGTCCAATTATCCGAACACCACTTATTACGTAATCTTATAGTGATTTTGATGAATGCTATTTCTGTGTCTGTATTTTTTCCCATTATGTAAGATTGGTTCATTCCTTTATTATTCTTATCACATCTAGTACACCTATCATCGCACTACAAACTTTTACTTTTCACTTCTTTAGTTATGTAATCGTTTTCATTGTTGTCATTGACTCATAAACTGCATTGATTGATTTAATAATTTCGTATATACGTATGAATAATAATGTGGATTAGAATACAGCCTAACGAAGATCTAATCAAAACAAGTAAACATAAATCAATAGTTGAGATCACGAGTCAATAGAAGCTAAACCACTATGGAAAACTTGGAAGCACTAAAGGGCTGTTTTGTCCTATTTAGTCAATGTCCACATAATTTCTTTCAAAGATTCAAAGAAAAGAACAACATATTGTTTGATTATGATAAGATATATTTGAAGGTGGGACTATAATTTATGAATGACATTTGAGCGACACCAGACTCATCTTGAGAGTGTTCACCTAATATCTAGGACTAAATGTGGGTTATAAACCTGTGTGAAGACTTTGAATTATGGTTTATAGTTGATGGTTAAAGTTAGGAATTAGATTTAGGATTTTCCATCACGAACTAACATCATCTATAATGACAAGACTCTATTTAGCCAAATGGATGAGTGGATTTCACGATAAAATTCGAGACTTGTTAACTTATATGTGATCGAAAGTGAAATGCCTAATGGCAGAAGGTTAAGAAGATCAAACAGAAGAGAAGAGAACGAAAAACAATGAGTTATCGGTATAGAGATGAAGAAACAACATGTTCTGTGACAATTGATCGATATTTTGAAAATGGTTCTCAGATTTGATCGAGATATTCTGTACTGTTATGTTTTCCCTATTCCTGTTCTTCTTCTGAATAGTATTTTTACCTATCGAACATGAAAATATCATTTAGATGATAGTCTGAAATGACCAAATAAATGATCATTGTTTTTTCAACGTTAGTTATAAGTGTTGATTGCCAATTATGAACTGAAAATGATCTCATGGTTAATAACATGAAGACTATGATCTAACTTGTAATTTGATTTATTGAAGCTTTAGTTAAAACAACTGATCATATTCTACTGTTTCATTAGTGAATAAAACCCAAAAAAAACACTTAAATATCTTGATATTAAGTCTATGACTATTATACAAATTAATGTCACCCAATGAATCCGTTGACCAGACACTACCAGTAACAACCTACTATGGGAAAGGACAAACCAAATCCCAGAGGAGGAGGAAATCAAGAAAAAGTGCTGGAATTGGACAGGGCACACATTGAAGAAAGCATCCAACTGTGTCACAAGACAAGCCTTCACTTACAATCCTCAAAGCAAAAGGAGAAGAAGAAAATCAAAGAGCACACTACACCGAGAATTGGAGACAGACATAAGAAGAATGAACTAGAAAGGAAGGTCCAGGATAGAATGATTTGGAGAATGTTGATCAGCGGTCTATGCTCCATTGGGAATAACAAGTGTAAATAAGTAAGTAATTGGATATTTGAAAAGAAAAGTGTAGATGAATTGGAATTCAAATATGATATATATACATAATAGAATTGGAGTCAAACAATGTTGCCTACTCTCTCTCTCTCTCCCTACTTTCTCTTTCTTCTACTTACTGGTTAATTGAATCATGGAAGCTTCCACAATTAAAAAGGAAACATAGTATACAATTATATGGTAACAACTACATAATGAATTCAATTCTATTCATAATTTATATTCGATTTTATTAAGAATAATACATAAATCATATATTACTATAATAATAATAATAGTAGTAGTAGTAGTAATGCATATTATTAATAATTAATAACTTACATTTGATATTAGTTGATTAGTTGAATACACAATTAGTATACTAAATAGTGATGTATATTTCTATTACTAATGTAGCTGTTATAAGTAGCTAATTTAATATTCTCTTAATAAAATATAATTTTCATAGGAGAATAATTCAAATTATTATTTATATAGATTTATGATTCTTTTTTTTCCCAAAATTTGATTGGTCAATTTTAACAAACCATTATAAAGGTATGAAGGAATGAATGAAGCAATGAATGAAGCAATGAATGAATGAAGCAATGAATGAAGGAATGAAGGAATAAGGCAATGAACGAAAGAATGAAGGAATGAATGAAGCAATGAATGAATGAAGGAATGAAGGAATAAATGTATGAAGGTATGATGGAATAAGGCAATGAACGAAGGAACAAACGAAGGAATGGATGAAGAAATGAATGAAGGAATAAATGAAAGAATGAATGAAGAAATGAATGGATGAATAAATGAAGGAATGGATGAAGAAATGAGTGAAGGAATAAATGTATGAAGGTATGATGGAATAAGGCAATGAACGAAGGAACAAACGAAGGAATGGATGAAGAAATGAATGAAGGAATAAATGAAAGAATGAATGAAGAAATGAATGGATGAATAAATGAAGGAATGGATGAAGAAATGAGTGAAGGAATAAATGAATGAATGTATGAAGAAATGAATGAAGGTATGATGGAATAAGGCAGTGAACGAAGAAATGAAGGAACGAAGTAATTAATGAAGAAATGAATGAAGGTATAAGGCAATGAACGAAGGTATGAATGAATGAACGAAGGGATGAAGGAATGAATGAAGCAATCAATTCTGGAAAGCATTAGAATACAGTCAGACATATATAAATCTATATAGAACTTTTGAATGAGACAGTTTAAGTGATGGATTGAACATGTTGAAATGTTGTAAATTATATGAAGTAATGATTTTATCCGCTAAGATTTGCTGAATAAAGAAAGTAATATTAAATACCATGTATTCTATTCATTATCTTGGTTTATCAAAGTCATTTAATGGTATAGTTATTTTAAAATTATTTTTATTATTTTTATATTAACTGTTCAGTGTATGGTGATTATTGTCATGTTTGTTTAATTATTGTAGAGTAGATCATTGAGATCACTAACTTCTTAACTATTAAAGTCTTGTAGGTATTTGAATACGCCTGTTCACTGAATATTTTATACTTTATCGATGTTACAAGATCATGAATCATAAATATATAGTTGACTTTTGCCAACTTACGTCACCAATGGCGAAGGTGAGATATCCGTCTATCAATTAAAGGACGAGTATACTACACGGTAGTTTGTTCTATCCTACTTTACAGCTTGGAAACGTGGCCATTAAGAGTAAAAGATACTCGTAAGTTACTAATATTTGATCACAGATGTGTTAGAAATATTATTCGAATCTTTTGAAATCACCACCCAATCACCCTACTTTGGGAAGCCTCTCTAGAAACGTTTGTGGAAATAGCACAAAAAACCCAAAATAGGGAGATTGAGCGGGTATGTAATAGTGAGGTTAGACGCAAGTTATTAGGGAATGATGGTAAATCAGTTAATGAGGTTTTGAGTCTTCATCGACTGAGATGGTTGGGTTATGTATTACTTATACCTGACCACCGATTAACACGACAAGCAATGCTGACTGGTGTTGGGGTTGGTTTAAAGAAAGTTGGGAGTGGTCAAACCAAAACGTGGTTTAGTGCTTAAAGTCACTAACTTCTGATCTGAGCAATGTTGGTGGATGCAGACTACTACAATCTTTCTTTTATATATTACTACCATTGAAGTGACTAGTTGTATGAATTTAGTGTTGATCTTGTTATGTTAATGAGGTGTGGCAAGTCGAACCGATGCATATATGTGCCTGATCCTACGTTGTAGTTGATTGACTGAGATCTGTTAATTAAGCCGTATTTTGGTTAGTAGTCCAACTAGTTCCAGATCCCATTCAGTATGCTTTAATGTTAAATAGTTGAAGGCAGTTGAAAGCAAACCGCGAGCCTAAATTAAGTAATGATTGAAATTCATTATTAGTAAGGCGTAACTGTAATGCGAAAGAAAGTGACACTTCAAGTAGAATTCGATTTGACATTACGCTGCCTTATAGACTAAACAACTATTCAGCAAACAATTACGGTAAATATTTTTGTTTAAAAGAAGATCAATCAAGGCATGACTAGCTCACTGGTAGTATCGCAAACTATAAACCAACATAACTCAAATGCGAACCTCAGAGGATGCATAAATCCCTTCAGGAATACAGATGTAACTTACTGACGAATGTCAATAAGTACGAAAATTTAGGTCATAATCCTCCTGTTGATTTCCTTTAATCTTCAAATACTTGTAATTACTTACTAATGAATAATTAATGAATTTTATGTTCTATACCCCACCCCCCGAAAAATTAAGAGAATAGTCAATATGTTAGTGATTCAAAGGAAATGAAGAAGGTCAAAGTTAATAAGTTTTATCTGTATATTATTCATTACGTGATTAAATATACAAAAATTTTTTTAATGTTTTCAAAACTGAATTTTATTTTCGCCTAGTGATTCATTCTTGTTACTGTGTTTAAAATCTATTTCAATAGTTGAGATCATAAGTCAAATGAAGTTAGACAACCATGAAAAACCTGGAAACACTGGACGGTTGTTTTGTTCTATTATGGTACTCTGCAGCAATGCACATCTACGATCTAGCCTCACGAGATTTGTGAGAAAGTAATCCACTGAAGACAACGATGGATATGTGGCTCAATTTCTTGAATTAGTTGAAGTTAGACATTCACATCGTTGAACGCCGGTAGACTCAGTTAATACATACTCACTACATTAGCCGGCACTAATCACCTTGTATGTAATTAACTATGTTGAAGTGATTTGTTCACTAAATGTGCGTGCATCTTTATTTCTTTTGATTGTTGTAATTAGTTGACTTATGATAATGACGATTTATCGATCATCAGGCGATATCTATTACCTCTTGGAATATATAAAGCAATACTAGCCTAAATTGATAGATTCAATAGGCTATGTTAAGTAACAAATACAAATTCAAACTCTTTATTTGGTGTAAAGTGCTTAGATTCGTTGATATTGTGTCCTCTCAGGTGAATGGTACATTCGTAAAGCTTTCATTGTTCTTCTAGACAGCATTATTAATAGGTATTTCAAAGAGAAGTGATTCACAAAATGATAGCAAATAAGTATAGGTAAAAAATTCAGTAATACTAAATTACTACTTAAGTTCATGATTTTCCACTTGGTATTATTTTGATTGTCTGATGAACAGAAAGTCTTCTATGTACGTATCTGGGAACCATCATCGGTGAACGAAGAGAATCCGATGCAGATGTAAAGGTAAGAATTGACAAAGCAAGAACAGCATCCCTAGAGATGAAGAATATATGGAACTCAAGACAACTGTCAACCAATATCATAGTCACAATCTTCAATACAAACGTTAAGACAATAAGTTCTACTGTACGAAGGTGAAAAGTGGGGAAATACTACAACCATCATCAAAAGTTTACAAGTATTTATAAACAGTTGTCTATGCAAGATACTAAATGTCCGTTGGCTGGATACCATCAGCAACAGCGTACTGTGGGAGAGAACAAACCAGCTTCCGACTGAAGAGCTAGTTAGGAAAAGACAATAGAGGTGGACAGGACACACATTGATAAAATCATCGAACTGCATCATAGAACAAACCCTAAATTGGAACGGAGAAGAGAAATACCTAGGAACACATTAACTTGGGAATCGGAAGCAGACATGGAGAGAATGAATTACAACTGGAACGACCTAGAAAGGATTGCTCAGGACAGAGTTGGATGGAGAGTGCTGGTACGTGGCCTATGCTTCTCCATGAGGGGTAACAGACGTAAGTAAGTAATAAACTCAACACAAATCATGTGTACCTATTTGTAACCATTTGTTAATTGTTTAATTCACACAAAAAAAGGAAATATGTTTTCTTAATGAAGAATTCAGAATATTTTAGAACTATGTGATATATACGAATATTCAACCCCCCCTTTATGTATTCAAAAACAGTTTGTTCTCACCTTAAACGTACCTTGGTGATTAGGTTTCAAATTGTTTTCACATTATTATTTTCTTTATCACCCCTGTTTCCTCTTACCGTCCATTTCTAGTCTAGTTCACTTTTCATTTTTATATATAAATGATCTTAACAACTATGTAATGTATGGTCAGATTGCTCAAAATATATTGCAATAATATATATTATCACATAGTTCTGATCATCTTCGTCTACTTCTTATTACACTATCGAAATATACACATGTGGTATATGCTACTTATGTCTGTTGATATAAGTAGTATGTTACATCGATCGGAATTGGGAAATATGGCAGTAAAAGGCTAAAAAGATCAATTTGAAAAGGATAGAAAGAAAAATATAAACGAAGAATCATACAGAAAGTGAAAGAACATTTGATGGAAGATTTCTAAATAAAGTATTCAATGTATGATTCTTATATTTCACCAAGAAGTTCTATAATTTCATGTTTACATAATTTGGTTAATGTTCTTATTCATAATTGAAATTATTAAAATCTCCACAAAAGTCCTTCTGATAATAATCATCTGCTCACTAGTGACTGGCTTCAAGTGGCATTTCTTGGAGTTATAGTGAGAAGTTGTGACTAGTGGAGTTCAACGGGGTGTGTTGTGAGATATCAACTCACTGAAGACAATCGTGTACGGTAGCGCAACTTCGTGGATTGGTTGAAGTTAGATATTAACACCGTTGGATGCCGACTGGCTCAGTAGTCTAATGATTAAGCGCTCGCGCGTGAGGCTGATAGGTCCTGGATTCGGATCTCGCAGGGGTCGGGATCGTGGATGCGCACTGCCAAGGAGGAGTCCCATACTAGGACCAAGCAGCCATCCAGTGCTTCCAGGTTTTCCATGGTGATCTAGCTTGAATTGGCTCATGATTTCAACTATTAGAATTACTAAAATCTTCACAAAACACCTTCTAATACATACATATATGTTTATTCACTTTTCACAATGTATATTATTATTATTTTCGTTATTCAATTGCACGCAATGT